TATTGTATTACTCCCATATGTATGATACTTTCGATCATAATTGCCGCATTCATAGAGTTATGCACGTGTGCGATACGACTGCCTACTTAGGAACGTTACTTTTGTTCCCCTTTTGCATTCTTCCGCCAAGTACATACTTGTCGACTGACATAGCCAGCCAGCCAACCGTCGAAGCTCTCTTTCGTCTTCTCGACTCTTTGAGCAACCACCTTTTGGACGCTCTTCAGCATCCTCTTCTCGCTCTCTCAGTGTTCTTGAATCCCTAAACTTTCTTAGACTCCCTCGACCTCTTCCTTTTCTCTCTCCTTTGCGTCACCCTTCATCCTCAGCGTCATCGGTATCTCGACCTTCTTTCATCGTCTTAAAGCGTCTTACATAGCCGTCGTACCTTAAGCTAGGATCTGGCGTTAGCTGCCTTCGCGAGTACTAATTGACTAGCATCGTTAATTACTCTCGTTTGATCTCTCGCGCTCGATTCGCGTCCTCTTGGCGCTCTTTCTATTTCCCTTCAAGAACTACTTCTTTTTGCGCCATTGAGGCCGTGCCACACGCCAGTATTAAAAATTGCTTTCTTCCTTGGTGCCACGAAAAATGCGATAGCAATAGTATTAACAATAATATTAATAAAATAATATAATAATATATTACTGTTTCATACTAAATCTTATATATTATTTGGTATCGTATATTAGCGTTATTACACTACAACCAGTGCAACATAAATAATAATACATTAGTTTGATCCCCATTGAAATAATAATGAGAAACCTACCGGGCAGAGTTTCGATTTTTTTCTCCTGAACGTTAACGCGCTACCTTAAATCGCGTAAATATAGGAAAATAATTTTCAGTCGTCGACTAATTGACGATTTCACATTTTATCCCGTGGCACTCGCGTGGGGTTTCCTAGAGCCGAGGAAAAGACTCAAAAAAAGTATTGGAAAGAACTGAACCTCGTACATATGGGATTCAATTCGTGGACAACACAGCTGGTTTCCTCTTTTTACGAAAAATAAATATAGGATTTCGCGGAATTATAAGTTTGCGCGCCGTCGCTAGAAATATGATAGCATAATCGCTAATTAATTATTACGCAAGAACACATACGCGACATCAAACGCGTTTTTTTCCTTCCGGTATTTTGCGAGAAAGAAAAATGTGGGTATTAACGTTTAACGGAATTTATGTAACACACAAGTTGCGTTGAACGGTGGACTTTAAGGAAAATGAAGGCGCGCACGGCGCTAAGTCGTATTACAAAATAGGCAGTGCATACTTCGGGCTACCTCGCAAAACAAACAACCTAAATACAACTAAATACTATAGAGACACATACCGCGACATTATCCAAATTACTATACAGACTTTAGCTCACAGTATTCAAACTTTGTTCAGCGTCGCGTTTAGCTTCCGATTTTAAATTTTATCAGTCATCGCATTCAACGCTAAATGAGCCCTCAGGCAAAATTAAGATTTTCCACATTCCTAAATGAACAAAGATAAGTCCTTCCGTAATCTCAGTCATCTCTTGTCATCAGCGATACATTATTTTTTGATAATTCTATAAATTAAATTCTGTTTTTTTATATAATAAGAAAAATAATTTAAAAAATAAATGTTTTACTAATTTATATCGTTATTCAAAAGGGCTTGAATTCGTGATTATGGAAATCAATTTGTAGCTAATTAATTTAATTGGTAATTGTTTAATGTAGCGACGATATATCAAATAAATGTTCTCTCTCCATGGAAATCAAACAATCATGTTTGCGGCTAAACGCGCTGGGAAAATATCAGTCTAGACAGCTCATAGAGAGGCCGCGAATGAACGCTAAACAAATCGAGAATACTATCGTCGACATAGTTATCATTTAGGTCGCAAGTCACGCGGGCGGCAATCGTACGATCTGATTTCGAAAACACGATGACACGATGATAAATTAAAGGTGAGGAACATATGTCTCGCGTTTGACTATTTACATTAAGCGTGTGCTCTCCCGAGAATGTGCGGCTCTTTTTCTTCACTCTCTCTCTCTCTCTCTCTCTCTCTCTCTCTCTCTCTCTCTCTCTCTAAATACAATATGTATATTTGTATATGTATATATATACTTACGACACGACGCGAAACGACTAGATTGTGACCCAACTCGAGCTCTCTTCTTTCCTTCCTCTTCTTATTTTCTCTTCTTTACTCTGTCTCGCGCCTCTCTTCTTTATTTGTGCTCCACACACACACGCGCACACACACACGCACGCACACACACACACACACACACACACACACACACACACACACACACACACACA